TATAATTATTGGATTATTTAACAGTTAACTTTGTTTCCGTTATATAATTATTATATAAGTTAACTGTTATATAATTATTAATACTGTTAAGTGAATCTAGCGCCAGAGTGTCGCTATGGTAAACAAATACTAGAGTGAATTTTAAAGAATGCATTTATTCTATTGTGGTTTATGCGCTGTCGGCGAAGTAGATTTAATTCAATCCAATAAGTTTAAATGAAATGCAAGAAAAAACGCGTATAATTTAATATTCCGTAAGAGGAAGTCATGTGGTGTACACATCAGATTTTTTGCATTTTGTGGCGTCACTACCGTGTCAGGAAAATGTATCCAACCATGCATTGCTATGTGATTTTCCATCATTTAGGTGCATTCTATCTCTTTTGAAAGTTTTTCACTGCTGTACTGATACACCTTTTATAATGTGAACTCTTAATTCCAACTCTTCGTTTTCCACAAAGTATACCACAAGCCTTACACTAGTAAGTTATAGCACTAACGAAATTAATAAACAAATGTACAAAACATTGCAAAAGGGAGGAATGAAAATTTTAAAGAATTTCCCTAAATGAAAGGAATATGAAATTTCGAAAAGCACATAATTGTATTTTTAGTCCGTAAAAGAGTGAGAAGAATTGGTAGGAAAAATGGAGCGTACAAAAAAGCTCTGTAGAGGTCTGAAGGCAAAAACATAAATATTCGTTCTTGACACGATAAACTCGGAAAATGTGTCCCTTGTCAAGCGATTTTTTTATTTTGGGAGAGCTTTACACATATATTTTTTCATATTATGAGAATAGCCAGTTAAATTGCTTGGAAGTGCAGAAATTACTTAATTTGTCTCACACCTATTTTAGCAGCAGAAGTAATAATTGCATCACCATTTATTAAAGGTATTTTGTAACTTTCAATAGAGCCTTTTATCTTAACTCTAGAAGCATTTACTTCGTCCTTAAAGTGGGTTCCGCTCATTGAGAATTCGAGAAAAACATTTTTCTAAATATAACCGTCATGTGCATACATATTTCAAATTTTCCTTCAGTTTTTTAAGCTAACTTTCCAAGCTTTTAGCAATCTTTCCAACATAATAATAAATATAACAGTATGTTCTCATCCACACTTATTGGCACAAAAGCTGGCCCTTTTTCACTGCTAAATGTAAGAAGTGACTGGTGCATGTCATAATTTGAAAATATGAATTTACTTTTTAGCCCAGAATATTGTTTTGACATTTTGTGTTGATTCACTATAAACGGGGCATCACTGTTTAAATTGTTGCTACCAAACATTAGATCTCTGTATTATATTTAAAGAAATTAAGTAATGAAGAATCTGCATAAATGTACATATGTTTCTTGTGTTGTGATAAAACAACATTACCCAGAGCCATAAAATTTTGAATAATGTAATGTTCCACCGAATGTGGCCCACCAGCGGCCGAGCGGTAAAGACGCTGAACACTGGTAGTTCAATCTGAGGTTCAAATCCCGCAAATGGGCTGGCTGCATGGGTGTTTTCATGGTTTTCCCCATGTGTAACGTGTAGACGAGCCAGTTTCCCTTAGAAAGTCCTCCACGAAGGTATCCCTTCCTTTAGGCAGATAGCCCTCGTGTGCTTTGCCATAATTAAATAATCCAATTCACCGAATGTGGGCAAAATCTGAAAACCCTAATTTGGAATCTGTTTTATTATCGATTTTATATTTTGTAACATTTTAACAAATTTTTGATTAAAAAACTAAATGATTTCAAAGCGAGCAATGACAATGTATGAAAAAAAAACATTTTTATCTTCAGCGTGCGAGACTGTGTGTCGGAAATTCTAAAGATATGCTCATTTTAAAATTATTTTGCGATATTGCTGTTGAATTGAATTTTATGGTTGTAAGTGCATAAAATATGAAGTTTAATAAAGTTAACATACGAAACGTTAAAAAAACACCACTTTGGGGGTAATATAAAATGCGAAAGCTTTCAGTGTTTTTTAGCCCAAAGGGGCAATTTGTTCAGAAGGGCTATTAATTTTGCTTTGGCATTTTGCATTGATTCACTATATAAACAGTGAATCACTTTTTAAATTATTGCCACCAAATATTAGAACCCTGTATTATATTTAAAGAAATTAAATAATAAAGAATCTGCATAAATGTATGTATGTTTCTCGCATTGTATTAAACGGTAATTAGAGTCATCAAATTTTAAATAACATATATTTCCACCAGAATCTGGGCATCTTGGAAGCCCAAATTTAGAGTTTGGTTTATTGTTTATTTCATATTTTGTAAAATTTTACCGAATTTTTGATTAACAAACTCAACAATTTCAAAGTGAGCAATGATAACACTGTACGTTGAAAAAAAATTTTTTTTTTTCTCCAGCATGCGAGACCATGTATTGGAAATTCTTAAGATATGCTCTTTTAAATATTTTGCGATATTGCTGTTGAATTGAATTTTGGTTTTAAGTGCGAAGAACATGATATTTAATAGATAAAGGTAACATAGAAAATAGCCCCTTTAGACATAATTTAAAATCTGAAACCTTTCAGATTTTAAAAATTATTTTGTAATTTTAATTTATTATTATTATTTAAGATGCTTGCAACATCAATCTTCAAGCATAGAATTCCTAGTGCGGCACTAAGTGCTAAGCAATTATCCTGAAAAATTGCACTTTCTTTTAACACTTTAATAATAAATTTCTGAAGACTTTAGAGTAAAAAAAAAAAAAAAAAAAAAAAAATTGTATACAGTTTTGCATCGGTATTATTTCATCCATCTATAGAGAGGCAGAATGGAACTGTGTTATAGCAACCAACTGAAGATTTATTTTTTTAATACATTTCTACAACTGCAGCCATTTTTTACCTTGCACTTGAATATTTTTTACTCCAGGGAAACATTTTTCTAAAAAAGCTGCAGCATGATCCTATGCATTCCATGGCTGGTTCTCCAGTAAAATAGTAAACTGCAGAGAACCAGCATTACCAACTTTTTGGTACTTTGTTTCCGTAGAAAAAAAATTTTTTTCCCCCAATAGAACTTTGTCCTTGTGTACGCACGTGTTTAAGAACATCAGCCCTTCCACCAAGCAAAATCAAAAAATTGCAATGACAAATGCAGTGCGTGATTCTCATTGCAAAACTGGAACACAATGTTTTCAGATTCTTATACACAAAGCAGAGACATGCCATATCTTAGTGATGAAAAGTGACTTCATTTCTTTTATATGCATATAGCGAAAAACAAGTGCTTTCAGCTGTGAAAAATCACATTTTTGGGTGCAAGAAACAAAGTATTAAGCCAAGCTACATAAAAATCATGAGAAATGTTAAGAATAAGAGAAAGCCAGGAGAAATATGTTGAAAATTGAGTTGGGGGAGTATGATTGGAAATTGGGAGTCTCCTGCCTAAATTGGGAAAGTTGGCAACTCTTTGTATTTACACACATATTTGCTTCCCGGCTTTTTAAACACACGTGTTCTGATTTTTTTTTTTAAATATTAATATAATTTTCTAATTCCTCAAGACATTCAGAAAGTTAGTTCCCCTAAATTTTAAAATGGTTACTTTCGTGTAGTGATTATTTTCATATTACTTAATGATTTACTTCCGAATTTTGGGTGCATGCACTTCACTTAGTTAAGCAAATACAGTCAAAAGTCGTTAATTTGGACCTCAAAGCTAAAAACTTTCTGCGCATGCGCCGCGTTGACACATGCGCATAGGCGTTTACGCGTGCGCGTAAGACCTTTTACCGCACCGCATATGCGTGTGCGCAAGCGCAGAATACGTTTTCGTGTGCATGCGCATTTTATGTATAACGGACGGTATAATCTAAAAGTATCTAATTATCTATTTCAGTTAATGTTGATGATTGCGTTCTTCTTTAATCTTCGAATTGGATCCGCTTTATTATTTTTTGCAGACTGTAAGAGCAATTTTATAAAAGTAAAGTTGAACTTTCGATTATGTCAAATAGAATTTCCGATTCTGAAGCTCCCAAAGGATCGTACAAAACAAAAGTATGTTTCGATGTCCATCAAACAAAAAGTGGAATTGCTGCAAAAAATGATAAAAACATGAAGAATGTGACAGAGAGGTTAGTGAAAACGAAAAAATTTCGATTGACAAGTTAATCGGTATTCTCGGCACAACAATTAACGGGACTTGAACAGCGGAACTTGGTAACTGAACAAGAAATTGTGTCTGTTTATAGAATTAAAGAGAAAGTATTATCACATAAAACGAAGCAACTTAAAACAACTTACATTGAAGGAAATGTTTAATAAAGTAAACAAATAAATATTAAGCCTTTTTTTTTTTTTTTTTTGTAAATTTTGATACCCTTTAGATTATAATTGTTCTTTATTTCATAAATTAAGGTTTCATATTTTTAATTTTAGAATTTCTGCATGCCATCTTACGAGATTTAAACTGGTGATCTATAATCCGGAAAAATCGATAATCCGGAATCACCGAAGTCCCAACGAGTCCGGATTAACGACTTTTGACTGTATTACAAAAGAGCTTCAAAAATGCAAAAATATCTAATGCTTTTCATGGTTCATCATTGCACATGGGAAGACAGACTGAATGGTGACACAGCTATTCTAACAGCACTGAATTATTTGAGGCCTAGAGAGTAGTATTGGAACAACTACATGAATGGGCAAGATTCGAGTTGCAATGCAATAGAAATGAAGCTAACTTATTAAATATTGTAAGGTTAATATTACTATATATTCTTATTGGAATGTAGGTTTCTTTTAAATAAATGATACTGTGATAGTTACTAGTAATTTATTCATTAATACTTTTCATCCTGCTGTAATGGCATCTTAGGGAAATTATTTGCGTAATTTTCCCTCCCGATTTTTATACAATAAAATTCCTTATAAAGGGGGAATATGCAAGTAATATAATATTTACATTGCTCTGAAATATACTTTTTGGTTGCATACTTATATCATATCATGAAATTTTACTTAATAATTTTTAGGTGAAAGTTGATTATACAGAGGAAACAGTTGCTATTAGTGGTTATCCTTTGTCTGCAGCTTTGACTTGTGCTAAATTGTGTTCAGCATTTGAAGAAGTGTGGGGAATTCACTAAAATGTATTAATAAGTAAATATACATATTTTACATTTGTAAATATAGTTACATGATGAGACTAAATTATTATATTCATGTAACCTTGACAAAATAAAGTTTTTATAGAAAAATTTTTTATTTGTAGTGTGCTGAAAAGCAGTTCACTGTTGTTAAAATAAAATCATTATTTGTTCAATCATTTTGATTATATTCCTTTCGTAGCTGCCAACTTTTAATTTTTCATCACATTTCTTGATACAAAATAAAATACAAAGAGATGTGGTGATTTACCTAGTAAATCACAACATCTCGTGGTGATTTACCGTATTTTATTTTTACACTTTAAGTTAAACTGCTGAGAAATATGTTTCCCAGCAATAAATTAAATTGTGCAGACTCCACTCTCTATCTTTTAGTAATTTTCTGCATAATTTTGTATATAAAATTTTATTTGATTTGAATTGTTTCGATCTATGTAAACATTCGTAGAGTTTTTTTATGATTCAACCAATGTTTAATTAGTTAATATTTGTATTTGTTTTATATCAATAAATGGAACATTACTAAATTTATCTACATGATAGTAGGTACAATAATTATTAATTTTACTTCCATTGTATTTAAAAATACATTGTTAAATAAAAGCTTTCCTTCCCTGTGCAGGACTTTCTCAATATAAAAGTAAGAAAACCACAAAATAGAAGTAGCTGAAGAACATAATTATGTATTAGCATTTATTGCATTAAATCTGTATTATAAACAGTTCAATAACTTGAATTTCATATCATAAGGTGAATATAAGGTAATCTGAAATTCACCATGCAATGCAGAAATGCCCAATTTTTCATACTTCAAGTTTGGCAGCTAGGCAGATTCAACTTCTTTTTAAATATCTAAAGGTCTGTAGAGAAGACAGTTATTGTGCATTTTTTGTAATTATTACTGATTTCTACGTTCTGTTATTACATTACGAATGTTATAGAAAATGTCAAGTTTGAATAGCATGACTGCTGTATGTGAGTGAGCAAAAGCAAAAGATCAATGTTTACAACTGGAGTGATGTCACACTATATGTATGCCATACCAACTGTAACTACTGTGCTGACACACAACTATGCCAAATCAGCTCTAACTGTTCTCCTGATGTCATGTGCCCATGCAAGTATTCATAATTTAATCAGAATTTCTATCATATTAATTTTTCTGTTCCACCATTTTTAGCATTTTTCTATTTTACAAAAATTTAGAAACTTCAGTCATTTATATTTTTCCCCACTAGTATGATAGTAAGACTGCCAAGTACTAGTAATTTGGTTTGGATTTGAATCCAGGTAAATGTGTTGGCTGCATAGATGGTTTTTGTGGTTTCTCCGTGCATAATATGAATTAGTTTACCTTAGAAAGTTCTGCATTGACTGCATCATCTCCCTTAGGCAGATATCCATCATGTGCTTCCCGTGTTCATCCTAATCTTACCTCATTTATATTTTAAATGCCAAAAAACATGCTATTTTCTATTCTTTTAGGGCCTACTGATTGCCAAAAAAAAATATTTTTTCTTCATTTAATTTCAATTTACCTTCCTATTCTATTTCAGTTTGCATTAATTTGTGTTAAAATATGTCTAATGTTTACATTTTTGTATGGTTTTATTGAAGTGGTGGCTTTGTTTATTTAGTCAATTCTTAAAACTAATTTTAAGCATCATACATTTTCAAACTTTGCACCATCAAAAATACCAAAATGATGTCCTAAATGCAAATTTTTCTAAATTAGTTTACCAAATTTTGAGTCTTCCAAGAATTCTTCGATTTATTATTGTGCAGTAGCTTAAAATGTTGGATTTCTAAATCAAAAGATTCAATCCTTGATTTATAACAGCCTTAAGATTTTAAATGATTGTCATATTGAATTGTTTAGCCCTTTAAGCAGTTGCAAGATTAAGCAGTTTACCTACCCAAGTACGCACGTAATATCAGTCAGTCGTAAATTTGTAATGCAAGCTGTGTTCATTTACACATGATGCAGTGCATAACTGGCACATAAGATGAGCTTGTTGATGACTATCAAAGGATTAATAAAGCAGAAATTTATATGAATTGAATGTAATTGTTAATCTCTTGAAATCTGATGAAAAAAGATGGCATCGTGTATACTTCATTGCTATGCTGATTTGGGGAAATAGTTTTCCTGTGTTCAGGATCATTTAAAAAAAATTTTTTGTCTAAACTAGACTAAAAAAAGGGAAAATTATGTATATGTATATGTATATAAGGACAGTCAGTAACTATTAAAATTTATAGTTTTAGCTAAATATATTAAAAATTTAAAAAAAAAATCTTAGCTATTTTTTTAGGTTTTTTTTTAGCTGTCATAATGTGACTAAAAATCATAGAAAAGTTATATATGTATTATATTAATAGAATTTTAGTGAACAATAGAGGTAATAGTATACAGATGACGAATATAAGAATGAATGCATTTAAATTTTTCTCTTTGATAATTTTGATTATAGAGTATAGAAATAACATACAAGAATGATTATATTCAGTTCATTTAAAAAATGTTGTTCACAATTTTGATTTAAAATTTGCCATTGTTAGCAGCCCCATGATTTTAGTCTTATGTGATCAAAAATAAATACTATGATGATAGCTAAAAAAAAATATTTTTTTTACTTAAGCACATTTAACAAAAACTTTGTAACTTCCATATATATTTTATCTAATGCAGTTCATTGGTAAAGACTATAGAGAGGTAAGAAGCCATTGGATTTAGTTATTAATTATATTAATTATGATTTTATTAAATATGAGAGGATTAAAGATTAATTCCTGTATCAAATCTTTTCTTTTGCTTTCTTCATTTTTTCTAAACAATGTATCAACTAATTCTTTAATTCATGTACCATAGGTCATTAACATTGTGACATTCATTTCATAATATGTATTTTTGTCACAGTCAAGGATGTCTTTTAATATTTTGTATATGAAACATCTTGTTAATATATACAGGAAAGAATAGGCTTAATTACTTACACAAAGTATATATATACAAGCTGATTCAAAGAACTTCACAAAAACTTACATTTTGGTGAATTTTAACTATGTACGCTAAAGCAATTTAGAACACAAATACTTGAAAATCATAGAAACCCCACCTCTGCACTAGGATCCATAGAATTTCTTAATTCTCAATTCTATTGTATTTCTAGTGTTTCTGAAGTTTTCTTTCAAATTTCCTGTACTTCTTCCGTGTTTGTTTAAAATAATTAAAAATGTAAAAGTATAGTGAAAATTTCATATTTATATATTTTTCATGTTCAAAATTTTTTTTAAACATATATTATTCATAGTACTAATTTACTTTTTACCTGCTTTCGAATGACTACATGAATTCCTAAATGGAATTTTTCCCTAATGAGCAAGTTTCTCCTCAAAGTCTTCCATGAAGACATTCCTCTTACTATGGAATAAGTTATCAAGAACTCTTTTGTAATTGACTAATTAATTTAGCTGTAGAATTTGTATTGTTTTCAGAAATTAACATGTGCACATGTAATTTGCATGTAATATGGTGATTGAGTCAGATGTTGCAGATTTGTGGTTTATGATATTATTATATATGATTACAGGGCTTGATTTCACTAAGATATGTTATCCATAGAGTTGCTCACAAGGTTTCTTCTTTGGTTTGAATTCCATTATACAGTTCAACACTCTTTTGAAGTGGAATGTGTTTTGAGCTCAGTGCAAGGCTTATGTGGCTGCAAAGCATTTTTGACATTGCAGTTAGTTTTTTAACTTGTATAATATTTATGTAATTTGTTTATTTATATAATATTTGTATAATATAAGAACAAATATATAAATTTATTTGTTCTTTTTATGCCTTTGTAATGTACTACACAAGCTTTTTAAATTTCATGTTATTCTAATAATGATTGATAGAGTATTTATGCCACATATAGAAATTCTAGTAAACCCCAGTTTTATAATTTGAGGCCTTTTTATGTGACTAATGAACTAGTGGAGGAAAATGGTGTGGAAATCATGTTTTATTAATTACAAAAAATGTTCTATATGCAGTTAAGCCTGGTTGAAAGTAATATGAAAGTTTGTTACATTTTCCCAATAAATTTTTTTCCCACATATCTCCAACTTAAAGAAAAATTCTTACATTTCAATTATCAATAGGCTTTATTTTTACATTCATGATGCCAACATATTGCACAAAAAATGCAGACACAAGCATGCACAAAGAAAATGCATACAATAAAAACAAACTGCCTGACACAAGACAAAAGCATCATGACAAAAAAATTTTTAAGAATGGTTGTTTAATTTTCATTTTCCAGATGTGATGCATCTATACTAATTTCTGACAGATAAGTATTTGGGTAGTTTCACTGAAACGTCTCGCTCTGTTAAGAATTCTTTCTTTATTTTTGGTGATCCTCAGAAAGACCAACATATCTATCCAAAGCAAGGTACGAGAATTAAAAAACTTTTACTTATGTCCTGTAGTTGTGCTGATTTGATAATGCAAAAATTATGCAATTAGGGACGGAGAAGATAGCTGAAAAGATTAAAATTAATAATAAATATTTTTAAATAGTATTAATTTAACACAAAAACTGAGTAAAACTAATCAAATTTTAAAAGAAGTAATAAACTATTTTAAATTAATGGGAAGCTATTTTAAAGAAGTATGAACCTTAAAATAATAAATACCAAATGTTAAAATTAACAGTTTGTACATCATTAGAAATGTTTATATGATATATAACTGCTCTAAGTTTTTAAATGTTTAAAATATTTACAAAATGTTGAACCCGGAAACAAAATATTATGTTTTCATCATTAACAATATCAATTGAAAGCTATTTTTTAAAGAAATTTAAATTTACACACATTACACACATTAAAACTATTACTGAAGACCCATGGCATTATGTTTTAAAACATGAAATTTTATAAAATGATTAATTAAAACGTGCAAGAAAGATCACGAATTCTTATTAAGCATGTATACACAGCATGTCTGTCTACAAAATGGCAATTTACAGTGTAAATAGTTATTGATGAAGAACTGTAAAATGCTATTTGGACCTCATTTTTGGTATACAGAAAGCTCAGTTATTTTTCATTTATGAAATCTTAAAAACTAGTTTCTAAAATTACAAAATTACACCATAACAATTTAAAAGAAAAATATTTATGTATTTTATTGTCAGAACTTATGTAAAAGAATGTTTTTTATGTATAGATGCAGCAAATACAGATGGTATGCAGAATTTTTTCATATTATTTGTTTGACTAAGTTTAAAATTTATATTTCATATTTTTATAATTTTTAAATCATTATATATTTATTATATATATAAATTACAATATACTACCATATTTCCTACTTCATCACTACAAAAAGTATGATATTAGTAATATGATAAATATATACTGCATAACACTGTCATGAAGTGGGAAATATTTCGGATTATCCACAAAGAAATTTGCATCAAAAGATATATTTATAATTGTGATAAATTTCTCATACAATAAATATGAAGACAATGAGTGTTTTGCACACAACACATATCACAAGAAGTAAATGATTTCAAAACTTCACTTATTGCACAAAAACATATTTAAAATAATGATTTAAATAAACAGCAATGACATTATTTTTTAAAAAGTTGCACTTTCCAACAATTTTGGTAAAATTTTCAGATTTTTTATATCTATATACACAGATATATATGTATTCTCTATTTTTATAAAAATCATGGTCCTGATTTTACAGAAACTTAATGTCCAATGTAATAAAAAAAAGAAAAAAACACCAGACATTAAATGTATATGAATTTCCACAAACTAGTCAGTACCAAAACGGCACAATATTGGAAAATTCAAAATCATTGTGGTAAACGAGCAACTACACAAACTTTCACAATTGCTTTTGATTTCCACTGACCAATGCCAAAATACTTTCAGCATCTCCATGCCAGCACAATTAAGAGTAACTTGTCCCTGCACTCTGATTATACAGGCTTCCAGCACATACCCGAGAATGTTCTGGCCATCGCATTGTCTGTAAAAGAGTGGAAAAAATGCAAAATTGATTGGTATGTTTGATCTTATATTTAATCCTATTCTTTTGTCTTAATTAGACTTCATAACATTTCTACAATAAAACATAAAAAATGCAATTCACTTAGATTTACAAATAAAAACTGAAATGAAGATTTTTTTAATAGGGGGTTCCTTTTTGATTATTTCAACATTTCCTTTTTATTATGATAAAAGCTGAAACATAGTTCACATAGATTTTCACAGAAATTATTAATTTATCTCAAGTGTTTTCTAACTATTAACTTATTTCAGCTTTTAGCTGTTCCCAAATTAATTTTTTTATAAGTTCTCATTCTCTTTTCATTAGGGTTAGAGAGTGATCTAAGATCATTTCTCTAATCTTGCTGAGACCATCAAATATGCAATTAAGGCAACCATTAAAATGATCGGTTTTGCAGTAAAATTAAAACATTTTATGTGTTTATCAAACTGGGGAGTTATATTTCCAATTATTATTAAAACAAGATTATATAGTTAACTCCCAGTACCAAATTTGGCCAGCATCCATGAAGACCTGCAGAGATGAATATATGCTATAAACCTTAATAATACAACTCTCAGAGATAAGCACTAGCTGTAGCTGACAGCATTTTGGAATTAAATCGCATGATTTCAATCATGCTGAGCATTTTGAAGAAACATTCTGCAGCATGTTTATCACTAAATGGACTAAACTATTAATGCAATTGTAATTTTGGTTTAAATAACAGGTTAGCTATGGCATTTTCTTGAAAACAAATGATGTTCATTTATCTTTTATTTTTAACATCAGTTTTGGGTATTACAGAGCAGTAAGTGATTAACAAGAGTATTATAAATTTCAGGATAAAAAAAGTGTGAAGGATTTAAATCCACTTGCTGTTTCAAAGTACCGTTATTTTCTAGAAGTGTCATAATTTGCTTTTTATTTAAATAAAAGCTTCAAGTTCTTTTGCCTTTTAAAATGGTTTCAAGAAAGCTGGTGCTCATAAATACATCCACTAAGTTAGAAACTGATTTGGGTGTATCTTACCAAAAATAAATAAAAAATTTAAGTTTGTGTATGTAGAAGAAGTAGATGATGATAATATACAAAGTAAAGTCTCTGCAGAGATATTATTTGCATGCTGGCAAAATTTATTTCTATAATTTTTTATTTTAATGCATGGAATTCAAAGAAGCATAAATTACTCAGAAAATTAAGAGTGCATTGTCAGAAGACTGTTAATGAAGAATTGATCAAATACGTTGCAAAACTCATGGCAAGAATGGTGTTAACTATTGAGAAGCAGGGGGTATTTTTGACAAAATAATGGGAAGAGATCACTACTTATAGTACTGTCAATAAATGCTAAATGCTATTGTAATGACAACTGTGCATCAGTTCTGATTAGTTAATCTATAAAATAACTAATGAAACACCCAAGATCATTTATTAATTTATTTTACGCTTACTGAATATGTGCGCAGATAACAGTCTGCTCCTATACTTCAAACTGAACATTCCACTAAAGGCAAATAGATTTTGAACAAAGTCATATGTTCTTTGCAACTGTGAAGTAGGTTTCAATTCAGGATTTCATTATTTATATGGGATCTGATATCTCTTAATATTCCCAGCATAAAAACATTGGAAAATCAAAAAGCATTGTAATACTTCTTCTAGAATCAAAAGTCGTATCCTACGTATAGATTACTGGTAAACAAGTTTACGTATTTTGATGTACAGTTTAAAAATGGTACAGACGTGTGGTGCTAAAAAAAATGAAAATGGTACAGACGTGTGGTGCTAAAAAAAAAATGAAGTCCACAAATGAAAGAGAAACTCATAAATGGAAGAAGGATGCTTTTACTCCTTTTTGAACCATGATAGCCATAACATGGCACGATAAGAAAAATGTTTTTATGATTTCAATGCGTATGCATAAAGTTTGCAGATAATTCAAAATGCAACAAGAAGCAAGAAATTGTATAGAAACTAACTTGTGTACATGACTACAATAAACTGACAAATGTAATAGACAGGCAATATAATAGCAGCAATTCAACTTTACAGTCAATCAGATATTAAAGAAATATAAAAAAAATCAACCTCCCACCAGAAGAAAAATGTTAAGATAATGAAGATCAGATTATCAATAAGAAGAATGAGATGTTAAGTTGTGCATGTTTCAATTTCACAAAATATATCATACCAAATTACATATTAAAATTATTGCACATTTTGCTTCAGCAGTTTTTAATTATACTATTATTGTTATATCTAATTTATATTACATTGCATATTTATATGTATTAATTATCTAATTAAAGTAATTATTGTTTGAATGGAAGTTAATATTTTGCCCTTTTCTTCTAAAAAAACAATTCTAACCAGAACACCAAAGACTATCCATATTCCAATTATTGTTAGTAAGAGTGTAAGGTCTTTTAAGTGAAAAGATTTAAGCAATCAGAAACTGAGATAAGCGCTTGCATTAATTCTGGACGATTGATATCACAGGAAGACCAGAATTCAGGGAAAACACCTCATCTTTTGAAGTTTATTCGCAATTGGCTTTTAGATAATGATTTCGTGTTATTTGAATATTCCGTTATAAATAAAACTCTACTTTAGGAATTACTTAATGCTGGTGAATACAAAGTTTGCTGCTAACTGACAGAGCTCACGTGTTATGTGAAAAATCTCAGTGACAAAATATCATGTAATAATAATTTATATTTAATAATATAAATAATATATCATTTACTTATAGTGATACTAGGCAAGGAAGGTTTCATTCGAGTTCCAAGAAAATACAAATAAAGGAGATAGACTAGACGAGTGTTAAAATTTCAGCTGGTTTGCGACGTGCTGGTGTAAAAACTAGTTGAAAATAATGGCAAAATGTCATTTTCATATTCAGAAATAGCGATGTTGAAAAAATATCGATTGCCCATTGGAAAATTCCAAATGGATATTGGACATGACTGTCATAGAACATGATAGTTTAAGTATATATATATATTAGTTAATTTTAAACAAATACGTATAAAAGTAGAAAAGCAAATTTAAATTCTAAAAAAAGGAAAAAAGCCAAAATAATTTAAAATTTAAAAATATGCAAACATGTAAAAGATTTAATTCTCAAACTAATCTACAATATCATTTAAATTCAGAAGCATAAGTAAATCAAGTGTAAAATCTATCCATGAAGATAAATCTACTAATTTAATAAATTAAAATTAAATTAAACATTTTTTTAAAAAAATTCATATGTGAATGATCGTAGAGTAGGCAGGAGACAGACTTATCAAGGGGAAGTTGCCTCCAAACCTAACTCTCCAATCATTCAATTCGTGTTTCATCATTCATGCAGGCAAGGGTAAAAGTCAAAACCAAAAGTAATTCCAATAAAGTGGTACTCTTAGAAATTAACATTTAAGTATTAACATTAAAGAATTAAAGTTCAAAAAGGAAAATACTAATTAAGTCTTTTGAGAAACAAGCAAGTAAAGTCAAAAATTAAACTTTTTCTTAAAAAATTATATTTTTTTTAAAAATTAATTTTTTATAAAATAATAAAAAATCTAGAAACCAATGTATTTTAGAAATCCTTGTCTACAGAAACTTCCCCTACACGAATATGCATATCAATTAAAAGAACTATACATAGTCCATATGAACCAATAAGAAATAAAAACAAAAAGAACTAATTCACAATTTTTAAAATAAATATATATTTAAAAATAATTTCATATTTAGAAAATACTTAGATACTACATAAAAAATTTAAAAAAAAAATACTTAAAGCAAGTAAATAGTAAGTTTTAATTCTAACTTACCTACTATAGTGTGGTGGGGTCTGCAAAAGTGTTGTGAAAGAGAAGTAAGTGTGTTCTTCAAATTATATAGATGGCGCTTATGTAGGTACAGTTGAGTGTCAAGCTGCTATCTTTTGTATAGTAAAAAATTTTTTGTAAATATTAATATTAATTAAATTAAAATCCTAAAGGTAGTAATATCAATTATTTAGGGAGTTAAGTAACTGAGCCAATAATCAAGAGATGTATGTTTGCTTGAAGGAAATTAAAGTGAAGTGGTATGTGAAAAAAATGTAAACTGTTTGTAATTTGAAATGTGTGTTCTGTTGAAAAATTGTTAAAAAAATTAAGTGAAAGATATATTGTGTGAAAATTTCAAAAAATTAAAGTAATTAAGAAAAACTGAAATGATTTAATATTAAACTTTTAAAGTAAAATCTTTTTAAAAAACCTCTAAAAATTCCCAGAAATTTCTCAAAAATTCCTTTAGAAGGTTAAATAAAACTTAAATTTGATGAAAGAAAATATTAAAATTTAATGAACTTGATTTAATTGGTATATCAAAACTTAACTAAATACTGGTTAAAGTGTGGAAAATTAGAAGAAGATTAAAATCTTCACTCAATTCGGACTATAATTGAGACTTTTGAAAAGAGTTGCCCCTTTATTAGTAAAAGGAAAGAATCCAGTATGATTAATTAAATACATATTACAAAATATTTACAATAAAAATTTACAATAATTTCTCTACTCTTTTATATCCTTCATTACCCTCCAGTTAAGGTTTAAGGTATATCATATCCAAAAGATCCAAAAAATTATAAAGTAAAGTCAAGGCCTGCCTTTTTAATATATAAATTAATAAATTTCGGTGGTACTTGGTTATCAACTTGTACATTAATTAGTTTTATGATTTCTTTCTTTAAATCGTCATTTTCAGTACATATATTTTTTATTCTGATAATTTGGCTATGAAATGTGTTTTCTATTACTTTTCTAGAGATATTAGAGTTCCAATTAATTAGTTTAATAGTAGGAAATGGAAATTACTTCTTTATCAAATAATTTTAAAATTTATTTTATTGTGTTTAATAATTTGCAGGTCTAGGAATTCAATAGTATCTTGATTCGTATTCATTTTATTAAGTGTTAAACTATTTGGGTAAATTTTGAATT